AACTCGTACGGAGTTTTATCATATTTTTTCCGGGGAACCTTATTTAAAAGGTAATTGCTTGTCAAGATTGCTTCGCCCCACATATTTTGTGGCAAGCCCGAACTTACTAGCATCACGTTCATCATATCTTTCAATGTGCGATTCTTTCGTTCGGCAACACCGTTTGATTGAGGTGAATAGGGTGCGGTACGTTCGTGTACTATACCCACACTAGCGCAAAAGTCACCAATTGGTGCTTCATACTCACCACCTCGATCACTCCTAACCGTCTTAATCCGTCGATTAAGTTGGTTTTCCACTTCATTCTTATAAATAATGAACTAGTTTTATGACGCGCGTTGCGCGATGGATAAATGCCCAACAGGATTTTGTTAAGGTTAATAATATCAAATGTTTATGTTAGTACAATTGATTCTTGTGAAAATAATTAATAAGCAAACTAAATAACAATTATACCCAACTAAATATGTGATTGATTTGCATATGATTCATGTGAGAATGTAGGGGTTACATGATCCAAGTTCAGATAATGCATTCATAAGGAATTAGTTAAACTACAATTGGACACTACTTCATCATGCAATCTGTGCAATTCATACCTACAAAACAATATTTGATTTACATCATTTAAATCCCTAGAATTAACACAAGACAGTAGATGTAGGCCAATTTTAACACTGAAACCTGTAAGAGTTTAGAAAACAAATATGACATTAGAGGAATTTGAAAAAGGAAATGGGGTTTACATGTATGTCTTTAGAGAAGAATATGAAGCACTAATAAACAAAAGGTTAAAAAACCCAAATCCACTACTTTGGTTGACCATCTTTCACTTTCCGCTTCAGTAAGTGAAGTTCATATAAAGGCCTTTTATTTGATCAATTTAAAACAAACATGAAAGAGACGATCTCCCACTTGGCCATAGTCTACTGCCTAGGGGCTGCATTGCAGTTTTTAGAACACTTGTATCATACTGATCCATTTAAAGATAAAACGCTACTTCAAATCTGTCCTAAAAATATGACCCAACCCAATCCACATTCTGCATACTCATTATATGACTTAATTACAAGTATTGAATCACCAGGTTCACATTTAATACCTTAGAAGGTTTCTGTTTACCACAACTATCCAAAAGAGTTTTGAATGAGAAACAACTGGATTTTTTTTTAGAGCAATAGTACCATTCGCAGCTGGAACTTTTTTTTAGAGCAACAACAACTTTAATGACAATATCATTTACTTCTCTGCAGAAAAAGTGAAAAAAATATGATTAAGAACTTTTAGTTAACTTGCACACTTCAATTTAAGAAAAAATTCCACTTTTGGTCCCATGACTATTATATCACTTCCACATTTAGTCGCTTACTTTCAGATTGTCCGTGTTTAGTCCGTGACCATTATCCCCTCACCACCCTCGGTCCTTCCGGCCAAAATTCCGGCAGATTTAGTCCACTTCTCAGCCTTAGAATCAGTCTTTGCATTTAATTTTGTATCAGGTTGGGTTTTTCATATCAGTCTTTGCATTAGATTTGATTTTTCATACCTAAAATCTGCATTAAATTTGCCGGAATTTTGGCCGGAAGGATGAGGGGTGGTGAGGGGATAATGGTCACAGACTAAATGATGTGGACAATCTGAAAGTAAGGGACTAAATGTGGAAGTGGTATAATAGTCGTGGGACCAAAAGTGGAATTTTTTCTCAATTAAATGTGAAACCTGTGGATAAACATAAATGAGGTATGGAATGCTTTTATTCCAATAGCCTTGTTGTTATCACCCGCAATCCAAAAAAAGATCCATATAAAATTTTGTGAGATTATAAGTGGCGCCTATGGCTATTCCGTGATGAAAAAGCAACTGTTATCTATCTCATGTATTCCATATTCTGATGCTCTACAAGCAAACAAAATCAACAAGTGACCCATCCCCCGACCCATAATTAAAAAACAGAGGTAAGCAAATTCCCTCCCCATCTATCTTATTTTGGATCCGTTATTGTGGATGGTTAGGTACTGGAATAGCATACCTAGTCTATTTATTTCTCTAGAATAGTCTTGACCTGATTCCTATCACTACCACATCCACATGTTAAATGACATGACAATCAACAATGACAGGCTCGCTTCTACGTGAGAAAAAATTAAAACCATCAACTTTTGGACTACTCAGTACATGAAGAACTTTTCTTGTTTATGGCATAAATGAATAATATGATGTAGTCTACAGACCCCATGTCCCCGTGAATACTTAAAACTCACTTGAATGAAGGATCCAAGTTCAAGCATTGCATTTTAGCATATTACTAATTCATTTTTCTATCTTTTCTCTTTTTTGAGTTGAAGAGTAGTCTCTGACTCTGTGTTGCTTTTCTCAGAATCGCTTCCTGAAGTATACATATACACTCTTAGAGAACTAAACAGATATCCTTCTTTCTATACCTTCCCTAGGTAGGGTAGATCTTGTTAAACTTAAGCACAAAATGCAAAAAGAGTAACTCTTAGTTTTATACTACGTATAATGTTTACCGTACACAGTGACAGATGTGCTGCACATTAAATTTATAATGTACAGTTGTACACATTCTTGGGAATATTACGGAATAAAGCACAATGGCTCATTGAACTTTTCCATCATTTCCAATGGAGCCAAAGACTCACTATTTTTTGGCTAGGGAATATGATGGAATAAAGCAAAATGGCTCACTAAACTGTCATCATGGGTCATCCAGAAGCAGTCACTCTATGCTTTAGTACAGGGGTAAGGTTACGTGCATCCGACCCCCCTTACCCCTTAATTTTTGCGACATTGGGGTAACGTTATTGTTCTGTTTGTAGTTGTACACATGTACAATGACAACAAAATTCCAAGTATGGATCCACCTTCATTCTTTAATTACATGTGGTTAAGAAATTACCTGAAAGCAAATGCGAAAAATAGTAGGAATATTGGTGCAGCTGATTTACACTGCAATAGAATCACAACAAAATTGCATTTATATGTCAAATCATTTGTACACATTTAAGGATCTAAGATCAGATGCTAAAGAAAGCGTTAGGGTGGAAAAATGTTCTCTCATAATAATGTTAACTTGTTATCGAATATGATTTCTTTGTTAGGTCCCCATATGACTTTTTAGTTTCAGCGCAACCTAATTGGTTTTTTAACACTTCCATCGGATCCCTTTTTTGTCTCCCTGTATGGGCAATTTTTGTCTCCATCAATGGGATAAAGAGAAAAGCAGCATTTTAGCCAAATCAACAACCCCTTTTCTTACCCCAGTGTCACCACTACGGAATAAGGAATACAAAAGTTTCAAAATTTTCTCTTGAGATATCAATATGCCTCTCGAAAAATCCATCATTAGTGGAACTTGCACTCCATCTATAGTTGAACTTTGCAATGCGAGTTTCACTATATACTCAATTATAGTAGAAATGCTTTAATTAGTTTGGTTATACTCATTCTTACATCTTCAGTACTTCTATCCGATTAGAACCACATTAAAAAGAAAATACAACAACAAGAATACAAGATGATTACTAACACTTTTGTGGTGGGAAAAGGTGCAGCCAATATTTAGTCCAAAATTTTAGTCCAGCATTGGCAAGTAAATGCCATCAACAAACATATTCTCCATAATATCAAGAAAGAAGAACTTTACTAACCATAGTCGCAAATGTAACGGTGATGAAAACAAGGGATTCATTGCTCAAGTTAACATCTAATGCAGTGCCAAGAGCTGTTGGTACTACTGTGAAATGAATAGTCCATGTGTAGCATTTGTTAGAAATTTAAAGAAGAAAAGGGAATATAATTAGCAAATAGTAGGTAAACTATTGGGGAAAAAAGGTAAACTATTGGGAACTGAATTGTAACCAAAAAAACCTATTGAGAACAGAATGAGCAAAAATTTACCTCTCAAGCAATAATCTCTCCACAGCATATGTACAGTAGGTTGAAACCTTTCAGACCAGATGCAAGTTATAACATTTGATAAAATAGCTTGCATTGCAAAGTGGACAGCGTTCATAAGTAGGGGGCAGGGAACTTTCCTAAATGATCCCCTAGAAGAGTTTTATTATACCTGCCCCACACAAATAGGAATAAGACAAAAATTTACTCTTCAACATTCGAGAACAAATTTAATACTTTATACATGAGAGTTCTAGATTATGCATGTTTATCTATGTCACTGGATATTTCTTTCATAAAATTAACAAATGATCAGGCTATTCAGTTGACCCCCTAGAAAAATAGATTAAAAAAATAAAATCAGAGAAGAAAGCCTAAGAACAAAGGAGAAAGCATAAGTTGTGTAAGAGAGAAAGAAGATTAGCTCATTGCTTGTCAAAAAAAAGAGGACCTACCTAGTTTTCTAGATCCAATCAATAGGTAAACTTGTCGTTAAGCAATTTGTCGTTAGGCAATTTCTTCTTCCTGTTCGTTAAGCAATTTGTCGCAGCTGATGCTTATGCGGCGAGCCGGTGACCACCCTTTTGTGTTCCAATCTAGATCCGTTATTGTGGATGGTTAGGTACTGGAATAACATACCTATTGATGAAAGTCGGATAAAAATAACAGCTTACACGAGCCGGAATTGAATTGGAGGACTCCATGTCATTACCATCAGCTGTTGAAATTCCCACTTGGCTGCTTACACAGACTACCACCTAGCCAGCATCCTCTCATAAGAATAATAGCAGAGGAGAAGAAGATGAGAGAAACAAATCAAGACAGGGAAATTAAATATAATATAATACTTGTTTTTTGCAAAAGTGATAGTTGTAATCTCCACTAAAAAATCGCCGAAAAAAGCAGTTTCCATAATATTGCGATTGAATACTATCTAAAATTTTGGTTCAGATCAAGCACATGTATTACATCCGGAGATACTTCAAAATATAGGAATATACGGTTCTAAAGGAAAAGGAGTGAAACTGCATTACCAAATTCAAAACCCTTCTAACTTGAGAGCTATGGAAGCTTCAACTCGGGAGCGGGTCAATACTCACTTGAAGCACTTTGCATCCAGAAGAGCCTCTCCTTCAAAAGGCTCCTGATCTTCAATCATCTGGTTGACCCGCTCTTTCTGAGCTTCATCATCGATGTCAACCTCCTTCCACTCATACAGTTCCATGTCGTACACTTCATCCATTAGAAACTTAGGAACTTCTTTGCCTCGAAAGAGCCACAACCCCTTGACTTTGAATGGGGGCTGCGAACCAATCACCAACATCTTACCAAAAGCATACTTCCGTGCTAAATCCATCCTCTGAAGGAAACCGCCTACTTTATTCAAAGTTACAAAAGAGACTGTATTCTCATCATTGTATTTGTAATCGCAGAACCAAAGAGAGTATCCCTCAGGATCATACATGTCCCAAAAACCTTTAGTGGCAACCTCACGGAAGTTTTTTTTAGTATTAGAGTAGAGTCTCCTCCAGTCATCCAAAACCATTTTGCTTGGAGGCAAAAGATCAAGAGGGTTCTTTGGCTTTGGCTTGGGTGCCTCTTCTTCCACCCCTTCTTCCTTAGGTTTTGCTTCTTCTTTCTTCGGTTCTTCTATTGGTTTTGCAGACTCCTTAGCCTGTGCAGCGGGCTTCTTTGATGGCGGAGGTGGAACAAATTCTGCTTGTTTAATATCACCCAAGTTTTTGGAAAAATTTGGCTGGTTAACCATAGTCCAGAAATATCTCTCCACATGAGGGAAGTCCTTAGTGAAGGACTTTGTCATGATGAGCTTAAATCCAACACTAAGGTTGCAGGTCATAACAATGTCAGCTAATGTGATAGAATGCCCAACTAAGTAAGTGTTAGATGCAAGATGGGTGCTTAAGGCTTCAAGGGCTCTCTTCAATGCATGTACTGCAATCTCCTCAGCCGGTGGCAAATGTACACCAAATCCAAGTCGGAGGTACAACCATCGACCTGTGTTTGCATCGATCTCAGTTTCCGAAAAGTCATTCCACTGCTCAACATGGGCATAATCAATCAATGAAGATCCAAAGAGGTGATTGTCAGGCTTCAACTTAGCAACGTAGCGTGCAATGGCATTGCTCTCAAATACCGTACCATCAGACGTTTCAAGCACAGGAACCTTTCCGATGGGATTCATCTCAAGAAACTCAGGAGTCTTGTTTGATACACCGATCTGGAAGTCTTTCACCAGATCTACTTTTACACCAGTATACTCTGCAGCAATAAGTGCTTTGAATGCATTCTTGTTTGTAGCCGATGAATGCAGGGTCAAAGCCATGGCTTCAAACACTGTGTAACAGAAAGTCAGGTAAAGTGAATTCTAAGAGAGGAGAGGCCGCCGCTGTTACAGAAGGTAGAGAAAGCCCTCCGCTGTTCCAAGGAAATATCATATAATAGTATAACTAAAGATGAGTAATGTAAAGAAATATTCTAGGCTTCCTTATTTGAAAGGAGGAGGAAGAAGAAAGAAGTATAACCATGGCCTCTCTCCATCTCAGTATCAAGCTCTTGCTTCCATCTGTGAAGCTCTCTTCTGATCCGGGCGGTGCCGCAGTGGGTTCTATGCCAAGTTATATCTAACCCTAACAATTTCATCTGCTGAATGGGTTAGAAGTTGGGACGTGAAGCAAATGAGGCGGGCACATAGTACCGTTTGTTGACGGATAAACGACGGTAGATAGACGGATGAGCATAGTAGAAGATAGAGGGAGTACATTGACTTAAGCACATAGTACATGTTTATTAAGCTATGATGTACCACCAACAAATTTCTAATATCCAAAATACCCTTACCTTGATTCATGCTTATATTTTTTAGAGATTTATCGATTGCTTCATGTTTATTTTTTAATAAATAAACGTAGCTATTGCGAGTGCTATCATCGATAAAGGTAATAAAATATTTATTACCGCCACGTGTTTGTATTGATTTAAAATCACAAACGTCACTATGAATTAATTCAAGTGGTTCCGTTTTTCTTTCAACTGATTTGAAAGACGTTTTCGCTAGTTTTGCCTCTACACAAACTCCACATTTGTGGTTCACATCAATTGTGAATTTAGGAATGTGCTCCATGTTAATTAATCTACGTATAGAATTAAAATTAACATGTCCTAGTCTACCATGCCACACATTAGAAGACTCAAGCAAGTAAGTAGAAGGGATTTTATTATTATTATTAATAATAGTCGTTACATTGAGCTTAAACAGCCCATCACATGCATACCCCTTGCCCACATACATTCCCGATTTAGACAAAACTAATTTGTCCGACTCAAAAACCATGCGGAAGCCATGCTTGTTCAACAACGAACCGGAAATCAGGTTTTTGCGTATTTCCGGAACAAACAGCACTTGGTTGAGAGTCAGCTCTTTTCCCGAAGTCATCTTCAGGACCACCTTGCCCACGCCTTCAACCGCGGAATGAGCCGAGTTACCCATCCACACTTTCTCACCATTTGATGGCTCGAAAGTTGTGAATAACTCCCGGTTTGAGCAAATGTGCCGGGTTGCACCGGTGTCCACAAACCACTCCTTGGAATTGGATCCAACGAGGTTGACTTCCGTAACCACAGCCGCTAGGATGATGTCTTCATCCTTTTGCCCACCTTGCACCAAATTGACTTGGGAGTCTTTCTTCTTCCGTGGTGCCTTGCAATCCGAGGACTTGTGTCCATTCTTCACTACTACAAAATAGACTTATCACGTCGGTTAATTCATACATTTAACGTCGGTTTTTGAACAGTCGTCTAAGTAAGAGACGTTATAAGTAGAGACATATCACGACTGTTTTTAAACCGACGTGAAAAACAATTTACAACGTCGGTTTTCTCCGCAAACCGTCGTAATAGATTTCCAAATTTATTTTGTAAAATCGCTTTTAACGTCAGTTTTTTCAATACCCGACGTGCTATATCTAAGTGCACGTATGCTTTAACGTCAGTTTTAAAACAAAACCGCCTTTGTACTTTTTTTAAAATTTCTAGTACATGTGCAGGTCTGCACTCTCTCGAGGTATGTAATCCAGCAATACACATTCCACCCACGTAATGCACTACCTTTTCTCAAACTTTCACAGTATTACAATCACATAAATCGAATACATTGAAATATTACTAAACGTCAAATACAAATGTGCAATAACATTTTTAATATAAAACCATAAACCCCAATATACGAAGTATGTTCTAACTACATTTACAGACACACTGCTTTGCACCACAATGCTCTCACAAAATCCAAATCTCCTTGTGTGTATTTAATTTAATATCTCAATGGCCAAACACCTACAAAAATATAAGAATAAAAATGTTAATTAATTAACAAAAAAGTATTTATTTAACGGTATATAATTTTTACTAGATCACCTCTCTTCAAAGAAATAATGTCATACACGAACATCATGAAATAGTAATTGCATTTAACGTTTCCCACTTGTATTGTGCGCTGCGTTCGGAACAAATACACATAAAGAATACAAGTACAACATGTTAAAACTGGCTTACTGTTTGAATATAAGTTTTTACCGGACAAACAAACCACCACTTTGTAGATTCATATCAATTTGCAGAAGTCCTACTATAGATTGTAGACTTTGTAGTTTCTTTGAATGACCTACAAATATGTGTAAAAGAAATATTACAAGTCTTCAAAAATTAATAACAACTTAACTACTGTGATTGAGCTTTACAAAGTAAATTTGCAAACAAAACAAATTAAAGAAAAATATCTAAGATGTAGACTAAAATTACTCCAAGTTCAAACTGCAAAGAGAAAATTAAATTTTAACTGGATTCTTCTTTTTAGGATCACAAGCTTAAGAAAAGAAGTACTCTTCTTTGCTTTTGTCAAGTAGAGCTATGGGACATAATATAAATTTGCAGGGGGGTGGAATAATATATTGGTTCAAACTCATTTACTTTTTTCTATTTGTTAAAACTCTGTATAATTGAAAGGCACAAAAATCCAAACGTATGGAATACATATTACCAAAAGAATAAGAAAAATTACACTTCCGATTATATTTTGAACAACAGCAACACGCGGAAAAGCATTTTCAGACTCAAAATCTCTAAATTAAAGTTTTAGGTCACTTTGTTCCTGTGAAGTGACAATAAAACATCTAAATGAACATGGTAATGATGAAGTTAAACATGATAAATTGATAATGTGTGGTTGAAACTAAGTGACAATAGGGTCACTAAACCAATCCTGACAAGTAGCAACCACTGCATAAAAATCTAAGAAATCAAATAATCCTTTGTACCTATCAATCACTAGATAACTTCTGCAAGTTTCTTAATTCATAGAAAATAGTAGATATGTCCAAGCAGAACATTAGTACACCTCCCTGAATCATGTTCATAATTTTTGTTTTGTCCATCCCAAAATAAAATACTATCCCTAATTGGTAAGAAAAGGTATTTAGTTTGTTACTTTAGTTCAAGACACTGACTTATTACTCTGACCTACAAGAATAGTTAACTCTGGAAAATCACATATCACATGGACAAACTTGGACATCAAATGGAATTAAAACTTTTTTCATAGGGCACAGAAAGGAGCATACCTTTGGAGAACAAAATGATGTAAGCTTAAGTTTGCTTTGCCTTTATAATAACTTCAACTCCAGCTTCACAAAACCTGAGAAATTGTAGTGCATACCTACCGAACACTCAAATAATCAAAATAACAGTCTTCGCAGTCAATATTTTACTCCATATTTTACTTTTTTTCCATTCTTATTTTCTTTGAAAAGGCACCTGAGGGATCTAGAGTGGGTTAAGACATAAGAATGAAATACTAAGGTAAATTAGAAATGCTAAGTTTACTAGAAATTATTAGATCCTAGATGCAAAGTAAAATATTGGGGTAAATAGGGAGTGCAGAGACCAAATTTTGCAAATGGAAAATAGTACTTACAGTTTAGCAACCACAAATATATCAAACTGTGGAAAGAGATTGAGCATCAAACCGTAGTCCTTATGACCCTTTGATATTTTCTGGACTGACTTCTTCCCTTCCCCGTTGAAAGACAAGGATTTATCCTAGACTGCCTTATCCCATCCTGGTGTAAAGTAGAGGGTTTCATTGTATCAACAATATCACAAATATATGCCTGCATAGCTATCAGATTCCCAGATGCAAATCTTGGGTAAACTTCTCCCTTCCACGCTTTCCCTCCTATCCAAATTTTTAAGAAGTAACCACTCATGTTTAAAGGGACCATTCATGTTTATAAATACTCTTCTTGATATCAAGGAGTCATTTTCGTCTCATTTGTAATTTCACTTTTGGATTTAGCTCCAAGCAGAAGTTTCATTGCTTCTACTCATGTCTATTAGTTGTAAAGGGAATGAAATGACCTCAAGCTCCCAACTAATGTTCTTTAATTAGCGATACAATTTATAAATGTTGACTGGAATTCTTATAATCAGGGAATTCAGACTTAAAGAAAACTACAGATCCTAAATGGGACAATGAAAACTTTCAAACATTTTCCTGAATATAGGGCAAAATCATGGGAGAAATTCATCCCAAAAGAATAAAAATCATACATGTGAATCTTGGGATGAAGCCATCGTTGAGATGGGGCGGCTTGAAGTACACGATTGTCCGGATTCACACTATAACTGGGATTAGGAAATTGTGACGTCTGGTGCTGAGTCCTCCAATTCCCTATTGGTTGTCGCTCAGTTGGTCTCCCAAATTTGAGCCGTCGAAGTGCACAAAGTGGTTCGCCTATGCCTAGCTATCGCGAGAAGACAAGGCCTGATGTCTGCTCACAGTTGGGTGAAGCATCTTGCCCACGTGGATGCTGAAATTCCGCCGTTGCTGGCGGTCCAAGACGTGTGTGGTCGAATCCGAGCGTGATTCCATACACGTGTGGGAGCAAATCTGAGGCGTGTAGTCGCCATACGTCTCTGTCTCTGGTCCAGATCTGCCGCTGTAGGGAAGCATGTCTCCCTCCCGTCGAAGTTGAACGCGCAGAATTGTTGTCACCACTCAGCATGGATGAAATCCTGCCGTGGACACAAATCCCCTCGCGTCGCTGTCAAAGATCTACCGGTAACTTCAACTCGTGGTTGTGGCGGATTCTCCCAGATCCGTTGGTTACCCTGCGATGCTTACCCAGAATAAACCCAATCGACTTGGTTGCGTCTTGTGTTGAACTGTTGATCGATAACCGTATACATTTTGTTTTAAAAAATACGGAGTATTTTTAACGACTGTTTTCGTATAAAAGACGTCGTAGGTAAAAAAACTGACTCCCTTATCAAGGCAGTTGTGTAGTAATCCGCCTTTAAATAAAATGAAATAAAAATATTAAAAATCATATGACGTCGGTTTTAACAACAACCGACGTAAAATAGTTTTATTACGA